CCCGCCGCGGGCTGTAGGCGTGTGTACCAGAATCACAGTCATACAGAGGGAGGGAGAGGCCGCCAGAGACCACCCTGCCCCCGGCGACCCGGAGGATGCCGCTGCGGTGCCGCTGCTAGAGGACACGCTGGGATTTAGACCGGCTCCGAGACTCTCTCTCTCTTTCTCTCCCGCTCTCTCCCTCTCTCCCTTCTCCGCGGAGAGGTCCCGGACGGGGGTGAGACCCTTCCACCGTCCTCCTCTTCCTCCTCTCCTCCCCGGCCGCGGGAAGCCCCTCTCCATGATGCAGGCTCGCTACTCCGTCTCGGACCCCAACGCTTTGGGAGTGGTGCCGTATTTAAGCGAGCAGAACTACTACCGGGCTGCCGGGACGTACGGCGGCATGGGCAACCCCATGAGCGTCTATTCGGGCCACGCCGAGCAGTACGCGGCGGGCATGGGGCGCTCCTACGGCCCCTACCACCCGCACCAACCCACCGCCCCCAAGGACCTGGTGAAGCCACCTTACAGCTACATCGCCCTCATCACCATGGCCATCCAGAACGCCCCCGACAAGAAGATCACGCTCAATGGGATTTACCAGTTCATCATGGACCGCTTCCCTTTCTACCGAGAGAACAAGCAGGGCTGGCAGAACAGCATCCGCCACAACCTCTCGCTCAACGAGTGTTTCGTCAAGGTGCCCCGCGACGACAAGAAGCCGGGCAAAGGCAGCTACTGGACCCTGGACCCCGACTCCTACAACATGTTCGAGAACGGCAGCTTCCTGCGCCGCCGGAGACGCTTCAAGAAGAAGGACGTCTCCAAGGAGAAGGAGGAGGCCCGGGAACGGCTGCTGAAGGAGCAGCCCAAGCCCCCCGGGCTGCCCGGCGCCGACCTCCCCAAGGAAGCCTCCTCCTCCTCTTCCTCTTCCTCCGCCTCGGCGCCGGCCTCCGAGAAGAAGGTGGTGATCAAGAGCGAGACGGCGTCTCCCGAGCTGCCCGTGATCACCAAGGTGGAGACGCTGAGCCCGGCCAGCGGCGGGGCCCTGCGGGACAGCCCCCGCAGCGCCGCCTCGCCCCCCGCCGCCGCCGCCTCTCCGGACGCGGCGCTGCCCGAGCATCACCCGGCCGGTAACGGGCTGCCGGGCTTCAGCGTGGAGAGCATCATGACCCTGCGGACTTCCCCCGCGGGCGACCTGAGCCCGGTGAGTGCCGCCTCGGGCAGGACGGGCGGCGGGCTGGCGCTGGGCTACCCCGCGGGGCAACCCTCGGGCTACAGCGCGGCGTGCAGCCAGGCGCTGGACACTAGTGGGAGCTACCACTGCAGCATGCGGGCCATGAGCCTCTACAGCGGCGACAGGCCTGCCCACATGTGCGCTCCGCTGGAGGAAGGGCTGGCCGAGCATCCCACCGGCGCCCCGTCGCCGCTGGGCGCGCTGAGCCTGCCCGCGGGGCAGGACGGAGCGCTGGGTACCGGGCATCACCCCCACGGCGGCGGCGGAGGCGGCGGCGGCGGAGGCGGAGGGGCGGCGGCGGGGGGACAGCCCGCGGCTTCTTGGTACCTGAACCACGGCGCTGAGCTGAGCCACCTGCCCGGCCACGCTTTCGGCTCTCAGCAGCAGACTTTTCCCAACGTGCGGGAAATGTTCACGTCGCACCGGCTGGGGATGGAGAGCGCGGCGCTGAGCGAGCATCAGGTGAGCAGCAACTCCGCCTGTCAGATCCCCTACAGATCCGCGCCCTCCCTATATCGCCACGCCGCCCCTTACTCCTACGACTGCACTAAGTACTGAGTAGCCGCCACCCCCAGCTTAGCCCGTTAAAAAAAAAATTAAAATTATTATTAATAATAATTATATTAAAAAAAAAAATCGGGAGAAATAAACCCACGGCAATAAAAACAAATCCGACAGCTTCCCCGTGGACTTTGAGGCCACAGAGTTTGAAGATTCCCAAAAGCCCCGTTTTTTGGGCCTCCTTAAATTCCGGATAAGTACATTTTACTTAAAAGAAGGGGGGGAATCTCTTCTCAAATGAAAAAGAAAAAAAAAAAAAAAAAAAAAAAAAAAAAAAAAAAAAAAAAAAAAAAAAAAAGCGAAAGAAAATAAAAAGGTTAAAAAAAATTATATATATATATGTCTATCTAAAAGTGGCAAATTTTATATGCTAAAGTATAGGGGGTCTCAGAAAAATAAGTTATGGACCAATATCGCAACGACCATTTATACGTTTTAAAAGGAAAAAAAAAAGTTTATAAATATATATATAAATATATGTCCTGGGTATTTTTTGAGTTCTCTGTTGTGCTGTAAAAAATATGTGGATTTCTAATCAGGCTGATTTTCAGAGCCATTAATATAATATTTAAAGTTGAGTTCACTGGATTATTTTTGTCTCGCCCAACGGTTCCTAACTTCCAAATTAATGACAAGTGATTTCTTCTTCTTCTTCTTCTGTGTACAATTATGCAATAGATTTTCTTTCGTTTTAGAGCTGTTCTTTTTGCAAGACGAGGAAATAATTTATTTTTTGCTGGTGGATTTTTTTTTTTAAGGAGAAAAAAAATAGACAAAGTATCTGATACTTTTTTATTATTATTTACGACGTGTGATGTTTTGTATAATAGATTTCACCTTTACCATTCCTAAGGACTATTTGCTTTAACCTGCTTCAAAGTTCGTTTGTCTGATGTGGTCCTAATTGTTGTACTTACCTTAAAATAAATCCATGCTGGTTTTTTCTGCTCCAAGTCTGGCGCTTCTCTGTGTATAAATTGGGGTTTTTTTACAGGTTTTTTTTTTCTTCTTTCACGCAGAAAACGTGGCAGTGGTTGTTTTTAAAACAAAAATTGATTTTCCCTGAAGGTTTCTGAGGTTTCTTTCTTGGAGGAAAGGTTGAATTAACATGAAGAGCTGGAATTGTACAACTGGGAGGGAGGGAAAAAAGAAAACCACGGCGGGGCTGAGCCCCTCGTTCCTAAATCCCTGCCAGCGTGAAAATTCGGGATTTTTCCCAGGCCTGCGATGGGGAAACAGGAAAAGAGGAGGCGCAGGGAGGGGAATTTCTGCTCCTCTCGCCCCGTCCTTGCGCGGAGCCGCCTCTTTCCAGGGCAGAAAACAAAGCCCTCCAAAAAAAAAATATTCCATTTTCTTTATTTATTTGGTTTTCTTGAAAGGAACCCCGAGTGCCTGGCAGCGAGAGCGATCATTTCAAGGCGGCCTCGCTGCGGAGTCTTAGAAAGGTGGAAAGTTCACTCGAGAATAATTTCGGTTTTCAAATCCTCTCTCGGTGGAAGAATTGGCTGATTTTTAACTTTCTCTTCATTTATTAACACTCCTGTCCGCAAGGCCGGCCGCTGCCAGATGTTTTCTGGCTTTTCCAAAATGATCCTTTAACCTGTTCGAGGGGCTTTAATCCGGGGCAAAACGCCGGATTTAGCAATCCTGGCAGCCTGGCAATGCCGCCAAAGCCTGGAGGGAATTTAGGAGGTGTTTGGGACTTTTCAAACGCAGCTCTCTGCTCCTTTCCCAGCTCTAAAATCACATCCACCCTCATTTCCAGCGGAAAAATCCCAACCGCGTCCCATCCCAGCGCCCGCAGCCCCTCAGTGCCCCTCAAAACCTTTTTTTTTTTGGGGGGGGGGGTTCGGGACTGGTTATACCCACATCAGGCTGTTGAAATCGATGATCTAAATTGGTTTTGACTGGTTAAATTTCGCCTGTGCTTGAAAGCTGGCAAAAAGAACCGAAACTCTCGATTTAAATGAGAAAAAAATGTCTGAACCTCACTTGATCCGTATTTTAAGGAACATTCTTGTAAAAGAACTCCCTGCCGTTTTTCCTGGCTCTCGGAGGGTGCTTTTTATTTAATTTTATATATATTTTATTTTTTTATTCTTTTTAATGCAATAAATGTCAAAGTGACCTCTAAATAAGAGAAAATACAGAGTGTAAAGGATTAAAAATAGGGAAATAAAGGGAGCAAAATTATGGAAAGAAAATAGATAAAAGGAAAAGGGGGGGGGGGGGGGGGAATATGAATTGGGAAAGAATTCTTCCCTGCTCCAGATCGCCTTCCCGTGGGATTTTTTTTCCTGCGTGCATCCCGGGGTCGCTGTGCCTCCTGTGGGTTTTCCCACACGCGTCGAGAAATCCCGGGCTCGCTCCCACATCTTCCAGGCACTGGGAATTTGGGGACCCTTTTCCTCAGGCAAGGATGGGATGCGGGAGCCGGGGTCAGGGACACCCCCAGGGCTCTGCAAGCTCCCCCTGCGCTGCTGCTGGACAGTTCCTGGCATCCCCTTTCCCCAAAAATCTCCTTTTTTTTGGTGTTTCTGTCCCCTCCTGGTCCCTCTGCAGGGACCCTCCCGTCCCCTCTGCAGAGCTCCTGCGGGGGCTGCGAGCATCGCCCCTCTGCGTGTCCCTCCTGTCCCTGCTCCTGTCCCCTGGCACCCCAGCACCCCACGGGCAGCCTTTTTGGGGTGGCTGGTGTCTCAAGAGAGCATTTTGGGGTGGGCTGGTGTCTCACAAGAACCTTTTGGGGTGGGCTGGTGTCACGGGAGAACATTTTGGGGTGGGCTGGTGTTCCAGGAGAGCATTAAGGGGTGGGCTGGTGTTGCAGGGAAGCGTTTTGGGGTGGGCTGGTGTCTCAAAAGAGCCTTTTGGGGTGGGCTGGTGTCTCAGGAGAGCCTTTTGGGGTGGGCTGGTGTCTCAGGAGAGCCTTTTGGGGTGGGCTGGTGTCGCAGGGGAGCATTTTGAGATGGGCTGGTGTCGCAGGGGAACCGTTTAGAGTGGGCTGGTGTCTCACGAGAGCATTTTGTGGTGGGCTGGTGTCTCATGAGAGCATTTTGGGGTGGGCTGGTGCCACAGGAGAGGCGAGAGGATCCTTCGGGGACTCTGTTGAAAAGCTGCCATAGGGAGCTCGGTCCGGCCATCGGAGTCTGTCGCGACAGGTGACTCCAGCCTGGCCGGAGCAGAGGGGAAGGAAGGAAGAAGTGAAGGAGGGAGGAAGGCCCGGGGTGACTTTTGAAGGCAGCCGTGACCAGATGTGGCTTGCAGCCCCCTGAAGGAGCAGCACGACCCCCCCACAGCCCAGGGGGCCAGCCTTGGCCCCGGGGGGCTGGCTGATGGTGCTGATGGTGCTGATGGTGCTGATGGTGCTGATGGTGCTGATGGTGCTGCGTGGCCAGCAGCCCCGGGCTGGGCTTAGGGTGGCTCCGGGAACAGGATAAGGACGGTGGATGGGTTTCCTAATTTTTTTTTTTCTTGTATTACCATTCACCACTGAGTTTGCAAACCTGTCCGAAACCTCGAACAGTTTCGGTCTTGGGGAGAAGAGGCAGCGGTTTTCATCTCGTCCCCACAGCCCAGTCGAGGGAGCGTTTCCCTGGTGCTCCAGACCCCGGGTGAAAGCCATTCCCTTCAGGAGTGCCCCAGGCCTCCTCCGCACAGCCCCGCACGAGCTCTCGTCCCTCCCAAACATCCCACCTTCCCTGGGCTCCGTGGGACGGCGCCGGCCGAGCGATTTTTGGGGCGGGCCACGAGCTCTTCTGTCATTTTCGAAGGGACTTCGCAGAAAATCCATAGCAGGGAGAGAAGGAAACACATCCCTGGTCCCGGAGCGAGCTGGCATCTGCGCAGCTCCCGCCGGGAGCTCATTCCTGAGGAGCCCGGCCGGGATGCAGCGGGAACGGGGAGCTCAAATTCACATTCCCGTTCCCCTCCAGGCCGGGATGCAGCAGGAGTGGGGAACACAGGTTTACATTCCTGTTCCCCTCCAGGCTGGGATGGAGAACATGGATTTATATTCCTGTTCCCCTCCAGTCTGGGATGGAGAACACGGATTCACATTCCCGTTCCCCTCCAGGCCGGGATGCAGCAGGAATGAGGAACACGGATTTATATTCCCTCTCCCCTCCAGTCTGGAATGGGGAACATGGATTCACATTCCTGCTCCCCTCCAGGCCGGGAATGGGGAGCTCTGATTCACATTCCCACTCTCCCTTAGGTTGGGATGCAGCAGAAATGGGGAACGCGGATTTACATTCCTTTTCCCCTCCAGTCTGGGATGGGGAACACGGATTTACATTCCCGCTCTCCCTTAGGCCGGGATGCAGCAGGAATGGGGAGCTCTGATCCACACTTCTGCTCCCCTCCAGGCCGGGATGCAGCAGGAATGGGGAGCTCAAATTCACATTCCTGCTATCCCTTAGGTTGGGATGCAGCAGGAACGGAGAACTCGGATTTATATTCCCGTTCCCCTCCAGTCTGGAATGGGGAACACGGATTTACATTCCCACTCCCCTCCAGTCTGGGATGGGGTCACACGGATTTACATTCCTGCTCCCCTCCAGGCCGGGATGCAGCAGGAGAGCACGGTTTGGTTTTTTTTTCCCTGTTCCCCACATCCTGGAGTGCTGCAGGAATGGGGAGCACTGATTTACACCCCCGTTTTCCCCGAGCAGGACTAAGGAGGGAGTGGGGATCACTGATGTACAGCTCTTCTTCCTCCCAAGATTGGGATGCAGAAGGACGGGTAAACTCTGATTTTTGGCTTGCTCCCCCCATCCCGGGTGGATCAGGAATGGGGATCACTCATGTACACCCCTTCTTCTCCATTTCCCGGGAAGGATCAGGATTAGGAATCACTGATTTGCGCCCCTTCTTCCCCCCAAGATTGGGATGCAGCAGGATTTGGAATCACTGATCTGCACCCTTTCTTCCCCCATTTCCCAGGAAGGATCAGGAATGGGGATCACTGATTCAAACACCTTTTTCTCCCGTTTCCCAGGATGGATCAGGAAAGGGGAGTTCAAATTCACACCCTTCTTTCCCCCAAAGACTGGGATGAAGCAGGATCGGGAATCACTGATTTGCACCCTTTCTTCCCCCGTTTCCTGGGAAGGACCAGGATTGGGAATCACCGATCTTCACCCTTTCTTCCCCCTTTTCCCGGGAAGGACCAGGATTGGGAATCAGTGATCTGCACCCTTTCTTCCCCCGTTTCCCGGGAAGGATCAGGATTGGGAATCACCGATCTGCACCCTTTCTT